TGCTCAGTGTGTGGTTGGTGATTGCCCAGCCCTCTCCTTTGTCCAGGTCTCTCTGCAGGACCTCCCTGGCTTCCAGGGAGTCCACAGCTCCTCCCACTTTAGTGCCATCTGCACACTTGCTCGGTATCCCTGCCAGCCCTGGGTCCAAGTCATTTAGGAGGGTGTGGGAGAGCCCTGGGCCTGAGATGGGGCCCTGTGGAACCCCCCACCAGTGACTCCCTGTTCATGGGCTGCTGTGGCAAAAGAAAGGAAAGACAGGGCTGGCTCAGGGGGGGAGAAATAAATGGCAAGATTTCTCAGCTTTTTAAGAGAACTTCAGAATTGCCAGTAGGTCGGTTTCCATCAGCTGTGCTCTGCAGATTTAATAACCATGTGTTTCCGGCTGGACCGGGAATGTTTTGCAAGCTGGAGGAACTGTTAGAAACCAGGGGACATGAGCACTTCTGCAGCACATTTAAAAAAAAAATGTACGACCCCAATTTTGAATGTTTCTGGGACCAAGTTCTGCTTGTCTGCTTTCTCCAATAAATGTCTCAGACATGCCAGTGCATCAGTATCCAAACAATTGCACAGAAGCAATTCTAAGCACATTGCAGCCCTTCCTGCAGGTCGGATCCCTTCAGCTGCAATCTGGGAGGTGCTGAATCTGTCACTCGTGCACAGGAGCTGCAGGGAGGCAGCAGTTCCTCTTAAGAGATCAGGACACTGGTCTCTCCCTGTAGCAGCCCAGAGCCTCGGCACCAGAAATGCTGCACAGGCAGAGGGGCCCCGAACCAGCCGTGTGACGCGGTCCGTCAAGGAAAGAAGCAACCTCCTCAGAGGGTGGGTGCAGTTTATTAAAATGTCACCTGCCCTATGTAAGGCATTAGCAGAACTTTCTGGAACTGGGGGTGTAAGTGGGTAGAACCATGCAAATAGGATCTGCATAAGGATGGATAGGGGAGGAACACATCTTTATAAGGAGAAAATGGGAGAGGCATAACCTTTTAAGGAGTATCTGCATGGCGGCATTAAACAGCCAATAAGAAAATAGGAATATAAGGAAACAAACAACTAGGAAAATTTTAACATAATTACGGGGGTAGAATATGAGGAGAAGATACACTAAACAACACTAAACACTAAAAACTAGAATACTGCAACAGTCCATAATATCAGTCCATAATGTTGTCACATAGAGGCTTCTTTATCCAAGGAATCCTGCAGATTCTGTCTCCATTTTCGGTATCTTTCTTCATCCCCATCTCTCCCAACCATGTTTTTCGTCTCCACCTTGCTTGTGTCTCTCCAGTGAAGGCACACATTCCTCCAGGAGTATGAGACAATGATGCCAAAGAACAAGGGGGAACACTTTCAGGTCCGACACCTGAAAGTTTCATTCTGCTGTTCCTAAAGGTTATTTAATTGGCAGACTCTGGAAAGGAAGCAGAGGGCAAAAAGTGTTTGATGATGCAGCAAAGATGGCAAGGGGACACCTGAACAACAGCAGGGTCTGGCAGTGGGGAAGGGCTGTGGTCACCATGGAGCCTGCAGGGCTGCTGGGAAAGGGGATGGAGCTGCAGCCATGGCCCTGGCACGGTGGCTCTGGGGCTGAGGGCGCCTGTGTGAAACCAAATCCCGCCTGGCACTGCTCTAGTTAGAGCAGCTGGGACCAGCTCATCCCTGGGTGGGTGTAATCCAAACTGTGTATTCTGAACCTTCTATGTCATTTCCCAGAAACTGTTAACAATAGACCATTGGCAGCAGCTGCCCATGACCCCTCAGGCTGTAAGCTGGGTGTTGAGAGGCCTCTGAGATAGGAGGATGTTCCTGTCCCCACACCCTCAACGCACAGTCACCCATTGTGGAAGTCCCCGCCCTGGGGGAGGTGCTGAGCCTTCCTGCCTGAACCTGAGGGTATATAATCTTGGGGTTTGGGGTTTTTTGGTACCACTTGTGGGATCCAGAGGAGGAGGAAAACCTCAACCAGACTGCAACCACTGGTCTTGACCAGACTGCAACCATCACTTGCACCAACAGGTTCTTCCTCTCCTTTCATGTTTGGACTCGGGGCCCACGTGGGGCTCAGCACGGGGGCCCACGAACACCATTCGGTTTGTTCCCCACTCTGCCAGGTTATACATCTGGGGGTTTTGTGGGTTAAATCCCATTGTTCATCTGTCTAATTGTATTTATTGTATTATTTTTCTTAAATTAGAATTCTGAGTTCTGAGTTGGGTTAATTTCTCCTACCGGTTTGCCTTTAAACCAGCACAGGCAGACCGTGTCTGCTGCGGCCTCGGAATTGGGAAGTGTATGGAATGGTACAGCTGATGGGTGGTAGCAGCACATAGAACACGTGCCACTTTTCGGTGGTTTTCATAAATCCAGTGTATTTCTGTGCGTTCTTGTGATGTCCCCTATGGCACAGTGCAGTAAGGTGGTGGGGATGGGGAGAGATGAAACCCAAAAGCCTTTCATGGAAAAATACCCTGTTCCTTCCAGCCAGCTCAGTGGCTTCCCTTCATGAACTTGGAGCCAGGCTTCCACCTGGCAGGGGCCACTGCTACAGAAACTGCTTTTGGAAATGCCGACATTTTGCTGGTGTTTATTTCCTGCCCCTTTTGATGAGCCTCAAACCCATGAACAGGTATTTTACAAAGGGGAGACTGCTGCACATGTGCAGACCTGTTCTACCTCATGAAATGATGTGCAGAAGGGAGACAGTTCTCCCTTGTAAACACACTTGTTTTGGGATACCATCCTTCTCTTCACCACTCCCACAGGTCTGTCAGAGACAGGGCGGGGGATGTGAGAGGACCAGAGGACTAAGGCACACTTTTGGATAAGAGGATTGGCTGAATGTGCTGTCACACCACAGGAAATCCTTGGGTGGATAACAGTGTCATCTTACCGAACACACCAATGCTGGGGATGCTGCCTTCACAGTTATGTGACAAGCGAAAAATGCTTGCAAAACAGCTCATTATTCCCTCCCGTGTTCTCTTGACAGGTTTCTAAGTATCTGGGCCCACCCTGTAGTGTGGCTGAGAAGGAGCCCATGAGTGACATCCCTCTGCCCCAGAAGACGGGCAGAGCTGTTTCCAAACACACCTTGTCATTTGCCACCCCAGCTTGAGGCTTCCAAGGCTGAAAGGGAGCAAGAGCCTCAGTAACTCAGTTCGAGTGCTGAGGGCGTGGATGTGCGCGAGAACTTGGAAAACATTCCTCTGGCATGTTCTCTGGGCGCACAACTACTGCAGCCTGTGGGATGTCCCATAATAGCCTCTGGAGGCAGATGTCCTTGTCAGCAATATGTGTGATGATTCTCCTGTTGGTTACTCATAAGAGAAACGTTTATTGACCATCAATACATTGGCCCATTCAGACAATTCATGAAATGAATTAGTGAAAGCACTACCCAAAAAAAAACACAGTGCAAAGTTTTCCCAATGGAAAAAAATAACTTCCACTTTATTTGAAACATTTTTGCATGCAGGTTCTTTCTGAAAAATTCAAAAAAATATGACTAAACAATTTCAATTCTTGCTAGGGGATATTTTATTGAAAACACTAACTACACTAAGCTTCTAAACTCCTATGTCTTCAAAATTGCAAAAAAATTCAAGGTGCGTTTTTGAAAAATTCAAAAAAATTCCTAAACTAAGCTTCGAAGTCTTCAAAAATAGCTAAGCTAATTTCCTAAGTTTCTAAGGCTTCCTAAATTACTAAACTAAGTTTCTAAGTTCCTAAGGCTTCACAACTACAAAAAACTGGAAGGGATTTGATGTCCTGGAGAAACATTTTGGTCACGTTTTCTTCTAGTCTCAGTCACTGTAATCCCTGTCTGGTGGAGTGGAACAGGTCGGTCAGGCTGCTGGTCAATACCAGAGCACAGGTCTCTCTTCTGACTTCAGCAAAGACCTCTGGAAAAAGAGAGGGAGAAACAAAACCATCGGTTGGTTTCATACAACAGGCACATCTGACAGAGGACAGTCAACGAATCAAGTTACTTTATTCAAAGGGCACTTGCAAAGCCTTGAGAATTTCAGTAACTGCCTCATTAGTGGGAGCCTTTTTACAGCCTTCCTACCGCACATCGTGCTTAGTTTCTTTTGCCACTTTGCCAGCACATCACAGCACTGCATCCCTTCATCCTCAGTAGCTCACAAAGCCTTGTGTTATATGGAACATGGCACTGCAAAGGCCACGTGGGATGGCAGGGTACAGGCTGAACTGCACCCCCTCTACAGCTTTTACAGAGTCACCTCTGCTTGCACCACAGGAGAACACAACCTTTCTAAGGATAAAACTGTACAATAACAAGAGGAGCAACAATTCTAACAATTGCTACTGGCAAATACTGGTTGAGGAGTCCAAAATTCAAGTGCTGCTCAGCAGCCACATTCCTTTAGCAAGCGCTGCCTCAAGAGGGCAGATTGATGCTGCACATCTTGCCTGATTCTGCTGTGCTTGGGACAGTCTTCTCCCCTCTCTCACTACCCCCTTTTCCCACGGGATGGTCCCTACTCATTGCACACATGCTCCCCAGCTTCTCTACCTCGGCACAGCTGAGGACTGTTTCACACAGAGCACAGCACCATCCCTAACCTGATCCAGAGCCCTCTCAGCCCAAAACCACTTTCCACTCCAAAACCACAACACGACTAAAGCAGCCGCTCATTTTCACTGAGAAAAAGGAAGAGCAAACTCCAGAACTAAAGATCTTCCATCACTACTGCAGCTGGAATATTTTTTCCCCAGCTAAACACTGGCCCCTCCATGCTTTCAGGCCACCTCAAGTGTTTTGTCTGCAGAAAAGCAGTTTCCTCCTGTTGTCAGGACACAAACCTCAGCACTACACACCATTCCAAGCCAACACCTCCAACTCCAGTCACAGCCAAGCAGGAATAGAATGCAGTAGCCCATGCCTGATGCACGAGCCTCCCCCGTTAGGAACACCGACAACTTGGAGACAAGCTCTTGGGAGCGCTCGCTCTAGCAAAGACCTGGCCACAACACTGGCAGTGCCCTGGTGGACAAACTGGCAGCAAAGCTTCAGCAGATCTACCAGAAGCCCTGCAAATGCCACACTGGGATACACCAGAAAATCCTGACCATCAAGGCCACCTGAAAAGCCAGACGATCAGGACTCAAAAGGCACACACTGGTTGTGTTTCCATTGGGTCACAGGAAAAAGACAAAGGCAACAAGATGATTTTAGTGCAGAAGGGAAATGCTCTCTACCCTTACCCACCTACACTGACAAAGCTGTTTTCTGGACCGCTTGCTTCCAGCATGTAAAGGCAAATCTCCAGCAGATTATGTTTCAGAAGGCATCTTATCTTAGAAGCAAATTCTGGAGTAGTAGGACAGGAGATACAGTTCTTCACCTCCCCCTTGTTAAGAGAGACTTGGACTTAAGCATCCTTATGACATCCCACCACTGTATACTCACTTCACTTTATTGCAGTCTTTGCTTACTGAAGACTGGCTTTAATCTTCACATCTGTCTCCTCTAACACCAAGAAAGAAAAAAGGAAAAAAAATCACTCAGGTTTTGAAAGCTCACATCCAGCACAGACCAACACACTTAAGCTTGAGTGATTCTGATTCTGACTGAGAACAGGGAAAAAAAGGATACTGGAATTCAGCAAGTGCAAACCCACAGCATAGCAGATATATATAGATTTCAGGCTCACTGACAAGTAACCAAAAATGACTTTTTATCTAATTGTGCTGAGATAGATTGTTTTGTAGTGGCAGGGATGAAACTGCTAAACCTCTTGTTGAAACCTCTGATTTCCATTGCTGAAAATAAGCGTTTCATCTCTTCTGGGTGGGTTTTTAATTGGCTCAGGAGGGGATGTATGACCACGGAGTAACAGCTGTGAAAAGTTTTGATTCATAGTCTCTTTTTAGAAGAATGAACACCCTATGGGAGAAGCATAATGGCTCCACTCCCAACCTGTTAAGTGGAAACTTCGCAGGAGTTTTTCAAATACCACCTTGGTCCTTGTACAAACCACCTCCCCTTCCACCTCTCACCTTTTTCTTCCCACAGGGCTCATCAGGACCGTCCATGGCTCTCCTCTTCAAGTCCTGCTTCCTTGCCCCAGGGAGGTCCTTGGTCTCTGCTCTTCTCTGCTGCTCTTCTTTCAGCCGGACAAGCTCAGGAGCTGCGGGGTCTCTCCCTGGTGAGAGGAATTTCTTCCCCCCGAGACTAAAGGGCTGTTTGACTTTGGCCTGGGGGGAGCCCTTTCTGTTCTCGGGGGGCTCCTGGAGTGCCGGCTTCAGGTCTTTCCCACAAGTAGATTCCGGCTTCACTCTTTGTCTGATTCCCTGCTTGTCCCTGGAGCACTGGGCTCTGATCTCCAATGGATCAGGCTCGCTGTCCTCCCTCCAGCATCTCTTGGCACTGTTGTGCACCAGGGGCTTGCCAGGCCTTTTGGTACCCACGGTGTGCCGGGTCTCTGAGCCCGAGGAGCTCTCTGAGTCACTGGTGTCCGGGGATAAGGAGCTCTCAGAGCCACTGGTCTCAGAGTCTGAGGAGCTCTCTGAGTCACCAGCGCAACCTGACTCTGAGCTGCAGGATTGCAAATATCTTAGACCAGCAAGTGGAGAAGAAGGCTTTTCAAGAAGCTGTTTTGGTCACAAAGACATAGAAGAGAGGGGAAGGAAAGGTTAGCTGAAGGAACTCAGAACAATGCAACAAGTTGAGATGAGTCCAAGGCATGTCTGTGTGCCTGGTGTGTACAACATCCCAAACTGACTTGGTTGTCCTCACTCTCCTCACTATCACTGAGCTGCAGGTCATCCAGGAGCCAACTGAAAGAAAACCAGAAGATGAGTATCAGGCAAGGCAGACACATTCTCAAGCACCAGACACTGAACAAGATTTGGGCTCTGCTTGCCAAAACACTTCAACCTCCCCCATCCCTTCGGAACATTTGGCACGTTCAGTGTGCAAAACCCTGTGACTGCCTGAATGGGAGGTAAAATGGTAACACAGAGCCAGGCATTTTATTGGGCTTTCCAGCTGCCCTGGGGATATTTGGCAGTGGAGGTCAGTAGCACGGGCTGCCACTGAGAGGCAACAAAGACCAAGCTCAGTGGGGGAACGCTACTCACAAAAGGTTCCCTGGCCAAGTTGGCAGCGGGGAAGAGTCTGGTCCTTTCACAGGAAGAGCTCTCAGTGTTAACTGTTCCCCAACAGTAGGCCATTAGTACTTGTGGGGAATTCTTCATTTTTCTTTCGGTTTTAACAGAGTCAGTATAACCCTTCCGTGGTTTAGTGGTCTTGGCATTGCTGGTTTAATGGTTGGAATTGATGATCCTGAAGAGCTTTTCCAACCTAAATTTTTCTGTGAGTCCATGAGGAAATAATAATGTTTCTGGGGGTAAAAATTCCCTGCACTCAAGTTTCTAAAAAATATCAGAGTGATAAAACCTGAAGCTCCAGAATCCTCAAGGAGCCTTCTAAGTTCTTTTAAGTAACTGCCCAGTAGAGCTGGGATCAGACTCTGGTTATTTACGATGGTCTTGTCCAAGAACTCAGTAATGTTCCTGAAGCTGTGCCAGACTGCTCTGTGCATCAAACAGGAATAGGCTGGATTAATTTACCTCACTTGTAGCCTGTTCCACCCTATGATCTCTGAGCACCAGATTGGAAAGGACTTTCTTCCGGGACGTGTTTGCCACTGGGTGTATCCCTAATGGGTTTCCTAAGGAAATACTGCTTGCGCTCTGCTGAACTACTCCCTTCATTTCTAGGTAATGAACATTTAGCCTTTCAGCAGATTTCAAAAGTCATCCCCATTCAACAAAGCAGAGGAATTCACCCTTCTTAATCCCTGTATATATCTGATATTCTCCATAACATTTCACACGCCACACACGAAAAGACCTGTCAATGCACACAAAACTGTGTGTTTGCTTGGCATCCCTACTTACCCTGATTCTGAGCTACAGAGCCGTCTGTGTCCTAGAAAGAAAGGACAATGTGTATATTAACAATGAAATAAGTAAATCAGCTCTTTTTCAATAGCACTTGACCAATGATTTGTTTCCCAGGTGTTACCCACTGGACTAAATTCTTTGACTAGCTTGTCACAGTCTGACTGGGAAGTGTCCCTGAGTCTAAGCTGGCCTGACCTACTTTAGCATGCACAGCAATGATCAGTGCTACTGCCCCCAAAAATGCATTGCTGGCGCATTAGGGTAGATACACCTTTGAAGAAGTATTTAAAAGCTCCACAAGAAGTGCCAAGCAGCTTAAGAAAATCAGCAAATATCTTTTGTTAATAAAAAAGTTCAAGTGGTTTTTGTCCTCCAACATCTGCCTCCTCTGGCTCAAAAGTCTTACAATTCTAAAAATACAAAGCTTGTTGAAAACAATTGAAAAGAGGGAAGATAATTTGGCCACCATCTCAGCCCACTCCAAAACACTCCGAAGCACAGTGGGTTCTAATTCTGAGCAAAACAATGCCCTGGAAGCAGCTGTCTCACAACTTGAGATCCACTGGGCTCCAAAGCAGATGAGAGCCCATGCAAGAGGCAGAAAGCTCTCTTGTAAAGTGTCAGAAGCCCTGGCAAAAAGGGGCTGGTTTACCTGTGTGGAGCGTGGCACTTTGGAAGGCTCTGCTTTTGGAGGCACGTGCAGAGGAGACAGGGGCTGTGAAAATGAGGAGGTCATTTCCTGGAAAACAATTGAGAGAAGCAGCTCTCAGGAGATTTGCTGAGAGGCACAGAGGAAGATTCACGCTTCTCGGGCTGCTACAAAACTAGTAATCTGCATTCCTGACAGGCAAGAGCACGAGCTGTCTGGTGAAACACAGGGGGATGCGGGATTTGCAGCTGGAGTCCTCGGGCTGCAAGCCTAGCCAGCACGCAGCATTGCCCCACCGTGCACAGGGAAGGGGTGCCACGGACTCAGAGCCAGGCACTGGGAGCCTGTGTGCTGCTCAGAGAGCCAGCTCTGACACCAGGTTACAGTTTTCCGTCAGACCTGGCTTAGCCGCATGAGTGGACTGGAATTCCAGGGAAGGAGCAGCAGCCCAGCAGCAGTGACACACACAGGTAGGTGGAAGGATTCGGATGCATGACCACGCTGCTGGTGCTGGCAGGAGGGAAACGAGGCAGCATGTCCAGTGCCTTGGGAGGAAGGGCGCTCAGGAAAGGCAAGCCCTGAATTGAGGAAAAAGCAGCTCTGTCAGTCTCGCATGCCTTGTCAGTGGGGCTCTTGAACTGCATTAGCCTGTGTTACACTCACACAAGGATAGGCAAAGGTTGGCCTGACACCTCCAGTTGTATCTGAGGCTGACTTTGGTCTTTACTGCTCCTCAGCACAGCCCACAACACACTCTGAGCAATGGCAACACCCACTGAGTGAACAGAAGAGGAGAACTGTGTTTTCCCCCACCCCTTACCTTAATGCCAGCAAAACAGAAGGAAACACAGAGCTCTGTTCTTTGAGAGCATCTCCCCTCAAAATGTCCTCAATGGATGGCACATCAGTGGAGTTGGTATGCTGAGACAAGAAAGAAGGAAGCAGCATGAGATTGTTTGGGTTTTTTCCCAACATGACACCAGCAGGCACTCAGCAAACATTGCTCTCGGCATGGCATGCAAGTGGATTAATACCAAAATTCTAGGAAGGACTAAAGGCCCCTTCTGAAGGGCAGTTGCTTTCCTTGAGTTGCTGTTGAAGCAG